GTTTTTTTAAATGTAAAAACAATATGAGGCTATTATGAGCAGCTTTAAGTTAATGAATTTAATTTACATTTTTGAGTAAAATGAAAAAAATGCTTCAAAAATAAAAACATATTAAAACCAACAAAAGAAAAATTCTGAATAGCTTGAACATCTACTAAAGTGACAAAACCCATTATCAAACATTCCCAAAATGAGAATATCAAACCCCAGATGATTTTACTGATGAATCCTTCCAAACATTTATGGGAGAAATAACCAGTCTTACACAAACTCTTCATCAGAATAATAAAAGCGGAAATTGAGCCAAAGGTTTTGTTTCAGTGACAGATAAGCTTAACATTTGAAAATCAATCAATGAAATCCATTACATCGACATAAAAATTTGGAGAATAATAACTTCAAAATTTCAATAGGTGCCACAAATGCATTTGATAAACTTCAATATGCATTTGTGACAAAAACCTGAGTTATGCAATAGATTAGATTTTAAAAACTATAGTTTTTCAAACTATACCATGTTAATGGACTGAAAGATTTGGCATTATGAGGATACAAATTCTTCCTAAATTAGCCTATGACTGAAATCACATTCAAAGTCCCAGCAGGTGTGTGTGTATGTGTGTGTTGGTGTGTGTGTGTGTGTGTGTGTGTGTGTGTAAATGGAAATGTTAATTCTAAAGTTCATATAAAATGAAAATATCAAGGACAATCAAGGAAATCTTGAGAGGAAATAAATTTAGAGGACTTACACTGATATCAAGACTTACTATAATGTGGTATTGGGCAAGGACAAATTGCCCAATGGAGCAGAACACAGTCTAGAAATAAGACTCACAGACAAATGATCATCTGAATTATTATAAATGTGACACTTCAACACAATAGGGAATAAATGATATTTTCAATAAAGCATCTGAGTTAATTGGATATCCAAACGGAAAAAAATAATTTGATATGTACCTCACACTGCATTTAAAAACCAATTCCAAATGGATCAATATATCAATAAAAGATAATAAAGATTTTAGATGAAAACATAAGAAGATATCTTCATAATCAACCACTACACAAATATCTATTGGGAGACAAAGAGCAAAACCATAAAGAAAAAACAAATTGGACTATGTTAAAATTAAGAACTAGTATTTATCAAAAGACACCAATAAAGGGAGTGAAAGTCAACCCTTGGAGAAGGAAGAGATATTTGCCTTATACATCACAAAATACTTGTATACAGTATAATGAACACTTTCAAAATAAAAAGTGGAAGAAAAGCTAACAGACTTGAAAAATGTGTCACAAAACATAGCATCGTATATTTTAATAAATATATAAAAAGTTTTTAACTTCATTAGTCATCAGGACAATATAAATTTAACAAACCATGAGTTACTACTACATACATACCAGAATAGCTAAATTGGCATGGGGAGAGGGGGAAGAGACTATACCAGGTGTTAGTGGGATAGGATCAATCAGAATTCTCATATCCACTATTGTCACCATATTGCAATCATTCGGAAAATCTAAAGCTGAACACATGAAAAACATAGAACCCCAAAATTCTACTAATAAGCACATAATTAACCAAAATGTGTATATATAGTCCCCAAGAGGCATGTATAAGAATGTTTATATCCCCACTGTTTGTAAAATACTGAACTGGAAATTATCTAAATGGCTGTCAGTGGTAAAATGGATGAATTGTGGTACATCCATCAGTGGAATATTAGTAGTAGTCACAACAAATGTACAGCTATGTGCCCCTGTCCACCCTAGTCCCACTCTCCCCCATGGAGGGTTTGGAGTGTCTATTGCAGTTATCACTTGTCTGTATCTCCATTGTGTGTGGAGGGAGGAGGAGATAACTTGCCTCTCACGTTCCCAGGTCTAAAGAAACTCATTTTCACCTGGTCCTCATTTAGATGATGATATCTTGGACACTGACCTAATGCTGCAATGGGATGAGATTCTGAGGCTCTTGGGAAGGGGTGAGTCTACCTGAAGTGTGGAAAGAATGTAAATAATTTGCAGCAAATTAAAAATGGCCAGAAATTCTTTGTTAGATGAGCTTAACTTCCTTCCCTTAGTTACTGGCCTGACCTTAATGACTTGTTTGACCTACAGAAGGCAATGAAAGTGAGATTCTAGGATTTCTGAAGCTAAGTTTGATATAGCCCATTCAGCTTCCACCTTGGCCTCTTAGAATGCTTGCTCCCAAGATGCTCCTATGGGAACCCTGCTACCATGCTGTGAGCGGCCCAGACGATACAGAAAAGCCAGCTGTAGGTGCTCACTCCTAACAATCAGACCGAAAATGTGAGGGTTATTAAAAAATGGTACTGATAAAACTAGGTATGTGCGAAAAATTGAAAGTAAGGATAGATCCTTTTCTCTCACTATATCACAACATAAATTGCAAGTAAATTAAAATTTTACAGATGGTACTTAAGATTTAGAAGAAGGAACTAAATGGATTTCCCTGATCTATGAGATGGAAAGGACTTTTCAGTATAAAAGTAACAAAAAATATCACAAAACTAAATACCTGCCAATTTTGACTACAAAAGTGATTTTTAAAAATTTCTGTACGTATTGGAATGTCAAGAACAGGAAAAAAAAAACCACCCAGAATACTGTTTTCATCATGCTTTATTGTCTTTAATAGTCATTTTTAAAGGCATAAACACTACAAAAGAAAAAAAGGGCAAATATATTAACAGGATAATTTGAGGCACAATTACCCATGGTAAAAAATCAAGTAAGACAAATACTCAATCTTACTAATAACCAAAGACGTGCAAGTTAGAACAATGAGATTATTTTATACCTATGAAATTGTTAACAATGAAAGCGAGCAATGATCCTGGGATGAAGTATAATGATTAGCAACATGGGCTCTAGAGTCATGCAGGCCTAGGTGGGAATTCCACTCCATCATCTAGTAATTGTATGGCCTTGGTCCGGTCATTTTCCTCACGGGGCATTGGCTTTCTCATTTGTAAAATGGGGATAATAATAGTTCCCTTATCTTAAGCTCATTGGATTATGTGAGAACATGTAATTCAACAAGTACAATCCTAGGCATTAGTAAAAAAATACAGATGTCACATTTTCAGCAGTTGCTATGTGTCTCACATTACGGCTTCTGTGCTTTATGTGGGCTGCCTCATTTAATTGAGAGTTTAGGACTTGAGGGGATTGCTTCATATTTGGGATTACTCTATTTAGGGAAATTTCTAGCAGAAACAGTCACATTATAATTTATGCCCCTGATGTCACCCTCAATGCCATTTTCCCCAGGGTACAGGGCAGACATTAAATTGTCCAGTGCACAGGCAGGAGCTCCCTGGAGGCCTCCAGCCAGCGGCTTCAGAATCACACTCCCAAGACCCACACCTGAACCTTTTGCCCCTGGGAAAGAGATGCCCTCCATCCCCCAGGACCCAGCCAGAGCTGGCTGGAGAGCAAGCTGCACAATGACCCTGAGGGTGGCTCTGATGAGCACTTGAGGGGGTGGTGTTTTAGGAGCTTTTAAAACCCTAAGAAACACCCCCGTCTTCTCAGGCCTAGGGAAGCTGGAAATGTCACACACTCTGGGTGGTCCTAAAGAACCCTGGACACCACAGACCCCAGCTTCATTGACTGAGCCAGAAAAGTTGTAGGCAGTTCCTCACTGACAACTTTCCACCCAGAAGAGAGAAGATGCCTGACACCAATCCATACTTTAACAGGTGAGAATCTGGAAGGGGCAGGGGACACACATACACATACACTCCCTCACTCTCTCTCTCTCTCTTTCTCTCTCTCTCTCTCTTTCTCTCCCTTCCCAGCCCAACAACTAGGCAAAAGTTTCTTGGATCGATGTTCTAATTCTCTGCCTCAGATCAGAAGCCTCTTTTTAAACCAAAGAACAAATGGGATACTAAAGTATTCATAAAAGCTTCCAAAGTCACACATCCTACAAAGCCAATATGAAAGGGCCTTTCACACCAGCTTGCTCTGAGTCCTAGGAGAGAAGAAGAAAAGTGGCTACTTTGAAGCCCAGAGAACTAGAGCCTGGTTCCTTTCACTTTTCCTTCTTCTGACAAAAAGCAAGTACCAGAGGGGCAAAGTGCAGGCGCAGGGACAAAAACACAGGCTTTGGAGTCAGATGCACCTGCATTTATCTGCCTCTCATTTTTAGCTCTCTGATCACGAGCACATCAAGTATCCCTGAGACTCAGCTTTACCATTTGCAAAGATGTTGAGAATAATAATACCTACTTCATAGCATTGTGAAGAATAAAACAATGCCATCAAAGTGTCTACACTTAGTAAGTCTCTGCAAATAGGTACTTATGTGTTGATGTCCAAGAGAACAGGGGAACTGAAATGTCAGTTCCCAGAGTGAATACAGGTGCTGAAGAGCAAATGGGGAAGTGGACAGGGACGAAGGGGACAGAGTGGTGGAGGAATTGTAGCCCTGTTCTATTTGTGGGGGGGGATCCTAACAGCACAGGGGGAGAAAGGGACATCACTGATACTCTCTTCCCCATCCCACACATCCTATGCCCCGAGTTAGGGAAGAATACCAGAGCTGCAGCTGAATGGGTGAGGTTAAATTCTCAGATTGAGAAGGCAAACAGATAGGAAGTTATCCTGTCTCATCTCCTGTGTTGGGGATCAGTGAGCTTAAATGACTTTTCCAATCTTGACTCAAGGATATGCTCAATTCTTACTTCCTCCAATAAAGAGCCTATGCTGACTTTTCCCTCCTGATCTCTTTTCTCTCACCCTATGATAGCAGAGAAAGCACCATCTGTATTTGAATGGCTGTTATCTTGACTCTTCTCTAAATGTCCCATGGGTTTTTTTGTTTTTTTTTTTACATCTCTGATAAGATCCAGAACTGCTCATTGACAAGGTCCATCTATTCTCTTTTTTTTCCAGCATATTTCTGGCTACAGAAAAACATACCTGTAAATTGATTTAATAATTAAATACTGCAGGAGGAAGGGTTTAATCTGAACAGATAACAAGAACTCCAAGAGATGGGAAAAGCAAGTAGAGTGAACCAAACTGCTGTTTCAGGCTTCCACCTTCTAGGATTCTCTGAGCAGCCAGAGCAGCAGCCTCTTTTATTTGGCCTCTTCCTGGGCATGTACCTGGTCACCGTGGTGGGAAATCTGCTCATCATCCTGGCCATCAGCTCTGACCCATACCTCCATACTCCCATGTATTTCTTTCTAGCCAACCTATCATTAACTGACATCTGTTTCACTTCTGCCTCAATCCCCAAAATGCTGGCCAACATTCATACCCAGAGTTGGACCATCTCTTATTCTGAGTGCCTTGTACAGCTATATTTTATCCTTACGTTTGGTGGTCTTGACAACTTCCTTTTGGCTGTGATGGCATATGACCGCTATGTGGCCATCTGCCAGCCACTCTATTACAGCACAGCTATGAGTCCCCAGCTCTGCGCACTAATGCTGGGCATGTGCTGGGTGCTAACCAACCTTCCTGCCCTGCTGCATACATTGTTGCTGACCCGAGTGGCCTTTTGTGCCCACAAGGCCATCCCCAACTTCTACTGTGATCCGAGAGCTCTACTGAAGCTCGCCTGCTCAGATATCCGCATTAACGAGCTGATGATCATCACCATGGGCCTGATGTTCCTCACCACTCCCTTCATGCTGATCGTCCTCTCTTACGCCCGCATTTCCTGCTCTGTGTTTGGCATCTCATCTTCTGGAGGGAGGTGGAAGGCCTTCTCTACCTGTGGTTCTCACCTCACAATGGTCCTGCTCTTTTATGGGTCTCTTATGGGTGTGTATTTACTTCCTCCATCAACTCACTCTGCAGAGAGGGAAAGTAGGGCTGCCATTCTCTATATGGTGATTATTCCCATGCTAAACCCGTTCATCTATAGCTTGAGGAACAGAGACATGAAGGCGGCACTGGGTAAACTTTTTGGCAGTAGCAAAACCTTCTTCCCATGCCAGTGACACTTGATCCTGCTATCCTGATCAACCCCTACCCCTCCATAATTTCCATAATCCCTCCACTCTCAGATTGATTTTAAGAAAGGGTTATCTGGAAAATCTGAGTAAGAGGTGTAACAAAAAGGGTATTTCTGCTCCTTTACTTGCCTGTGGAATGAGGTGTTCTGACTCAGTATCTCTCCTGATGCCAGTGAAGCAACCATGATTAAAGGCAGGGTACCATTCCCCATTCTTCACCTCTAAATCCAGCACATTAGCCAGAGTGAACTAAGATATGACACACTCTGGAGCCAAGAAATTCTGCCCTTGGGGTTATGGGAAGAGGGGAAGGGATGAAATACAAACATTTATTGAGCATCTTACAATCCTTCTCATTGCTGTTCACATCAGTACTTTGAGGGAAAATCGTGAAAACTATGGCCCAGAATGCTAAATAACTTCCTCAAACCAGGTAAGTTTGATTCTATACTCATCTTCTTTCTACTATACCACCTTGTGGAGATTATGATAAATACTGATTGATTATAACATGAGATAAAGAATTAAATTAATATATATTTTATGGTATTTCTTTAAATTGAAAGCTTTGTTATTCTAATAGATAGGTGAAAAGGAGTCAATATTTGTTGTGTGCATACTGTGTGCAAGTTTTGTACTTTGTACACAATTCATTCTCTGGTTCTTTCACAAAATATTCCCTAAAATACAGAATGATAAATCAAGTGTGGTGAAAATTTCCAGGCAATATTTGATGAAAAGTGGTCTGGTGGAAACTGGTATTCTATGAAGTCATAAAGATTTATAGTGGTTATCTTTTTGCAGTTATTTCTTCTTTTATATCTATGTGTCTTATTATTCCCACCCCTTCTATCCAAGAAGGAGGGGACAGACAGGAGAAGGGAGGATGGCCAAGGGAAAGCGCATGCAGATGCAATCGTCTTCCTTTTAAAATCTTCTTCCTTTAAAACAACATCTATTACACAATATATCAAAAAGTCACTGTCTTTTTTTAAAAAACTTGGTCCAGGATGAACTTGATCTTGAAACTTGGGAAAGCTCTATTTAGGTGCCTCTTTACTTCTCTGGGGTGACATGATAATCACTGGAACATTTTTTGTGCCAACCTCCAAATCTGATTTTCTGGTTCTAAAAGTACCAAATGGATAGGAGAGTTCTGGGAATATTTCTGAGTCCAGAACATTTTAGGTGCAGGAATATAGCTTAATATAGTATGGCTATGTCTCAGTTATTTCTCCTTTTCTCATGTTCTCAATTACCACTGCCCCTTATAAAACTTAGAAGATAAAGGGAATATTTGTTCATGCAGAGGGAATGAGTTGGAAAAGGAGAGCATATGTATTCTAAGTAAGTAAGTAAGGACTCCAGAAATAAAAGTCACTGGTGCTTCACTCTTTCCAAGAACTTATGTGTTTCATCTGACATCTTAAAACCTATAATCAAACTTGAGATGTTTTAATCTAGAAAAGTATTCCTTTGTAAGTGAAAATTTAGAGACTTAATATCATATCTAAGAATTCCACTCTATCCCATGGGATATAGACAGCTAATTAAAACCAATAAAGTTCTAAAAATGGACCTTGAGAGCTTGTTTGGAGGTTCTAGCAGGGGAGCGCAGCTACTCATCTACTCTTGACTTGAATACCAGTCCTTTCCTCTAGTTGGAAAGGTGGTTGTCTTCGATCAAGTGCACAGCTTTGGAGGGATGCACATGGATCAGTGAGTGAGGAAGGGGACACCCACCTAGTGAGCCAGATCTACCGAATCAACCCTGATGGTCACTGGGGTGAAAGACATTGCAGCCAGATCCCCCTCACATCCGAGGAACATGTATGAAGGACCCACAGAAAAAGCCAAAACGGAAGAACTGAGGGTGGGAGGTGGGGGAGTGGAGGAGAGTGGTGGTGAGGAATGGAGACAACTGAACTTGAACAAAAATTAAATTAAAAAATTATAAAAATGGAACTAGTCCTTTACACAAAACAGAATCATAATGTAAAGACTTTTGGAAATAATATCATAACAAATTTATATATTAAAACACTGTTAGATAATATAATTGGGTTTTTAAGTGGCAATAATTAATGTTATACAGAGGATGATTTCAAAAACTGCTAGTAGTGGGAATATAAAGTGGCATAAAATTCCAGGAAATAAATTGATAATATATATTATCAGCGCTAAAAGTATCTGTATTCTGTGACCTATTCTTGCACTTTGAGGAGTTTGATCAAGTAAACAGTAAAAAATATTGTCAAGAATTTATGTGTGACCGAAGATGGAGGAGGAGTAGGTGGAAGCTGCACAAACCTCCTCCCAGGATCAAACTGGAATTACACCTAAATTATAGAAAAATCATCCTGAATAATCAAATGAACACTAGCTGGAGAGAGGCCTTATAACCAGGGACCCAAGGAAGAAGGCACATCACCACAGCAATACTGATACAGAGTACAGAGGAGGTGCCAGAGAGCTGGCTGGGCTCCCACGAGAGGGCTGGCTGGGCAGCTGAAGTCCTGGAGGCATATTTCAGTGGCCGGGGTGGAGGGTCCCCCTGAGAAGTGTGGAGCTAAACCTTAACATGGGCTCCCCAGACCAAAGCACCAGAACCTAGAAAGGAACCTAAATAACATATGGCTGTGAAAAGCATCAGGGTTCCTGTCCACCAGGAAGAGATAGCTGGAGAAATAGAGAGCCTCTTAAAGGACCAATGCACAAAATGCCATTTGCAGTCACTTACTCTAGGATCCACAGAGGGAGGGCATAGTGGACTAGAGATGCATGAGGAGAGTGTGAGGCTCATGGCCCTGGGTAGGGAACTGAAGGAAAAGCTACCAGGAACCTCGTGCTGAGTCATTCCCCAGACTGCAGTAGCTATCCTTCTCAGGCAGAGTACTCCCCTTTAAGTGGCATCAGCCTGAGGGGAAGCAATAGCCCTGCCCACAGGAATTACTCTGCCCCACCCTGTGGTGCTTAAGCCCTGCTACTGAGCAGTACAGTTGGAAGACATTAATTGATTAACCCTACAGAAAGCTGGCAGGCAGAGGTAGATCCCCATGACCTGGTGCTGATAAAAAGCTGGCCTTGTTACACGACCTGGCTCTTGCCGCACAAACCCAGGCCCAGGAGAGGGAGCCACATGCTGTGGATCATTGACAGCTCTGAACAGGTTGCTCAGGCCAGTCACAAGCAGGGTCTGACTCAGATCTGCACAAAAGTCTTGCAGGCTTATCTATTTCAAAGAAATGAACACAAAGAGGTAACCAAAATGGGAAAACAAAGAAACAGGCCCCAAGTGAAAAAACATGAGAATTCTCCAGAAGAACTAGATGAAATGGAGGCAAGGAATTTATCAGATAGACCAATAATGATTATAAGGATACTCAACAGTATGAAAAAAGACATAGAAATCATAAAAAAGGACCAGTCAGAAATAAAGACGCAATATCTGAAATAAACAATACACCGGAAAGAATAAACAGTAAGTCAGACAAAGCAGAGGATCAAATCAGTGATTTGGAAGACACTGGAAAAAAACAACACCTAAGCAGAGCAGCAAATAGAAAAAATAATTTTAAAAAATGAGGAAAACTTAAGAAAACTTTGGTTTATTTTGGTTTATGGTGTAAGGGTTTGATCTCCAAAATATATAAAGAACTCACACAACTCCACACCAGGAAGACAAACAATCCAACTGAAAAATGGGCAAAGGACCTGAACAGACACTTCCTCAAGGAGGACATATAGAGGGCCCACAGACACATGGAAAAAAATGCTCAACATCACTATCCATTAGAGAGATGAAAATTAAAACCACAATGAGATACCACTTCACACTGGTCAGAATAGTCATCAATTAATAAATCAACAAACAAATTGTGGGAAGGTAGTGGAGAAAAGGGAATCCTAGTACACTGTTGGCGGGAACGCAGCCTGTCGCAGCCACTGTGTAAAACAGTATGGAATTTCCTCAAAAATCTAAAGATGCATCTACCTTTCGATCCAGTGATCCCACTTCTGGGATTATACCCTAAGAATCCTAAATCACCAATTCAAAAGAACCTATGTGCCCCAATGTTCATAGCAGCATTATTTACTATAGCCAAGTGCTGGAAACAGCTTAAGTGCCCATCAGTAAATGAGTGGATCAAAAAACTGGTACATTTACACAATGGTATACTACACAGCAGAAAGAAGGAACTCCTACTCTTCATGACAGCATGGATGGAACTGGAGAGCATTGTGCTAAGAGAAATAAGCCAGGTGGTGAAATACAAATACCATATGATCTCACCTGTAAGTGGAACCTAGTCAACAAAAAACAAATGAGCAAAATAGAACCAGAGACTTGGAAATAAAGAACAAACTGACAGTGACCAGGGGAAAGGCGATAATGGGGGAAAGAAGGGAAGGGGCAAGCCAAGGAACACCAACAGAGAACTCATGGGCACAGACAATGAGGGGAATTGACTGTGGGAGTGCAGGAGGGGATGGGTGCAGTGGGGAGCAATGGGGGAAAAGGTGGGACAACTGTAACTGAACAACAATTAAAAAAGAGAGAGAGACACTAGCCAAAGAATATATATGCATAGCCCATGGACACAGACAATAATGTGGCGAAGGCTGATGAGAGTGGCAGGGGCTGGATGGAGAGGGACAAAGGAGTGGAAAACTGGGGACATCTGTAACAGTGTCAACAATAAAAAAAAGCATATGATTTCTGTTTTCGCTTTAAAAAGAAAAAAGAAAGAAGCCTTTGGAATAACATGAAGCCTAACAACATCTATACCTGGGGATTCCAGAAGGAGAAGAGAGAGCAAAAGATCAAGAACCTATTTGAACAAATAATGACTGAAAACTTCCCTAATCTGTTGAAGGAAAAAGACACACAAGTCCAGGAAGCTCAGAGAGTCCCTGAAAAGTAGGATCCAAAGAGGCCTATACAAGGACACGTTATAAAGAAAACAGCAAGGCTTAACGGCAAA